CTTGTCAAGCTGTGGCACGTCTGACAGGTGGTGTCCCTCCTACGCGCTGCATGGAGCCGAGCAAGCGGACCACAGATGGTCCTCAGCCATCGCACTCCGAGGCCACACTTGTTTTTTTGACATATCACTCTATACACCCGCCCCCCCTACAAATTTAACTTATTCCGCAACGGGGAACATTATGGGAGTCAAATAAAAAGTTGCCACCACATAATATAAGATGTAAGTTTTATATTTACAACACAAATAAGAAATGTGAAAACTAACAATTAGAATGGCGAGACCTGAATCACTGAGCAAAACAACAACAAATCTGTGTAATTAAAAGAGTATGTACAACCACTTTTCAGAAAGAATGAAGAAATGCCAGGATGTTGAAGAAATGAACAAAAATGAACATCAATTAGGCATAACACTAAGACCATCTGCATTTTAAGCAACAGATCTTATATTAAAAATGGAATTAACCAAATACTTTAGTACAGGGGTCTCCAACCTGTAGCTCGGGAGCTACCAGTAGCTCTTCACCCCCTTCCAAATAGCTCACCGAGGGTGCGTCCGGACTTTTAACAGAGGGATTACTGAATTATTTGTACTGTGCTAATAACTACAGATTAATTAAATTCCTATTGCCATTGGAAATTTACAATTTTCAACTTTGTACACTAAGAATTCTATTTTATTTTGACTTGTGCATATACATTTATATAATTATGTCTTATTTGACACCTGTCTCTTGCTATCTTTTTGCTACTTATTAAGAATTTATTATTACCATTTATATTTTTGCTCTTTGTTATTATATTATATTGTGATGTGTGAGCTACTATGTCCAAATTATTTCCCCTGTGGATCAATAAAGTTTCTCTAAGTCTATTAAATAGATAATGGTTTATGTTTTACAGGCATCTATCTAACTGTGCCCCATTTAAGACTTACCCACTTTTTTTTTATATAGTTTCCATTTCTTGTGACTGCTAAAACTGGTAGCTCTCTGGCATTTTTCTTTTGTAAAAGTAGCTCACTGGAGGAAAGAGGTTGAAGACCCCTGCTTTAGTGAGAGTAGTTCCTCTTTTGAACTATAGGACTTATGCTCCTTCCATGGACCACTTTGCTGCTGACCACTACAGACTGAAAACAACACACAAGCACTTTGAAAATGCTCTGATCCAATTGTCTAAAGTCACAAATACTCCATACAAGTACAGTGATATTTAGTGGTCATAATGTTATGGCTGATTGGTGGTGGTGTTCACTCGGAGGATGGAGTCTCTGAAATACAGTAACAAAGTGTAAACTGACCATATACACAACTGTACAGGTGACTCAGAGCCTTGGAGTGACAGGTAAAATAGATGATACCAGATATGTTAGCATAGTCTAGCATGAAATCTCAACAAATCACCAAGAAGCATGTCAGAGCTGAATAAAACTGGCTGATTGTAACTTACATTGGTATAATTTTTAAAGGGATAGACCAGTACTCTAAATGTAAATGTAAAACTAGTGCTGTCATGCGATTAAAAAAATTGAGAGATTAATTAATCATGATCAGTAATTAATTAATCTAATTAATCTCATTTTAATCTCATCTAAAAATTGCTGAGAAAAGCTTCAATTTGAGGTATTTTCATTTAAATTCATTATTACATTATTGTGGCAGATCAAAAGACTGATATAGAACAAAAAAGTGACTTTATAAAGTAATTTATTGTTTAACAAATCTCTCCAAATTGGCTGTTGAGCCCAAGTCTCCATGAATAAGAAACTGTTTGCTGTAAAGTAACAAAGACGAGGAAATCTGAACATAATAACTTTTGTCTACTTAAGGACAATAAAAAGTCCAGTCTTTCCTTAACCATATTAAAAATATTATTGATAGAGAAATGCTTTATATATGAGATCACTGGTTTTAGTCCTTGTTTTAGTCCTGGTTTAGACCTGCTTTAGTCCTAGTTTAGTCTTAGTTTAGTCCTGGAATGGATTAATCCTGGTTTTAGTCCTGGTTAAGTCCTGGTTTAGACCTGGTTTAGTCCTGGTTTTAGTTCTGGTTTTAGTTCTGGTTTTAGTTCTGGTTTAGTCCTGGTTTAGTCCTGGTTTAGATCTGGTTTTAGTCCTGGTTTTAGTTCTGGTTTAGTTCTGGTTTAGTCCTTTGTTTAGACCTGGTTTAGTCCTGGTTTAGTCCTGGTTTAGTCCTGGTTTAGACCTGGTTTTAGTTCTGGTTTAGTTCTGGTTTTAGTTCTGGTTTAGTTCTGGTTTAGTCCTGGTTTAGTCCTGGACTGGATTAGTCCTGGTTTTAGTCTTGGTGTTAGTTCTGGTTTAGAGGCGCACAGGAGGAAGCACGGTTTACGCAGCGCACGCGAGAAAACACGATCCACACGCGGCGCACGGGAACACGTCGGTGTCCGCGCAGTAACTACGGAAAGAAACGTGGTCCGCGCGTTCTCAGGTTAATGACGATGATGAAGGTGTGTGTTTGTGTGTGTTTGTGTGTGTGTCCCCTCATGTGGCAGGTCACTATAGGACAGTAGTGCAGACATCATGAGTCTATGCAGGTTGTTTTCACCAGTGACATTTAAGTTGTAGGCGATATTATATTAGTTATTTTCTTTTATATTTTACGTCGGGAGAATAATTTCCAAGACACGAATATGTTTTTACGTGTGCACTGCTGACTCTGTTCTACTGGCTCTTCGACCTCGTCCATTGTGTGACTGACGCCGCCAACGTTACCATGACGTTTACGTCGCTGTTACTGCGCGCGTTTTGTGTGGGTTTCCGGCAATGAGTGGAATTACCGAAATAAAAAAATGTATAAATGTGTTTTTGTGTGTGTGTGTTGTTGTCCCAGCAACACATAAAAACAGATTTTATAATAAAGCAACTCGCATACAGAAACAGTAAAGTTAGAGATTAAAAATGAGATTAACGCGATTAAAAAACATAACGCGCTAAATATGACTGTAATTAATTAATCGCAATTAACGCGATAATTTGACACCCCTATGTAAAACATTTCTGTTTAACTGTGCATATAACTGAAAGTTTTTCATTCCGCACTCTTCTCTCCAATTTATGTCTCTCTTTTTTAATTTTAATCTTCATGATTATTTATGTTTTGATTTGTTTTTATTATGATTTTAATGTATTTCTTATTCTGTAAAGCACTTTGAATTACTTTGTGTATGAATTGTGCTATACAAATAAACTTGCCTTGCCTTGCCTAAATGTACTAGGCTCCATCATGTTTATAGAATAGACATGCGCAGTATGTAATTTATGCATTGTATTACATTTTATTGTTCTGTTATTAATAGGGGTGTAATGATATCCAAGTCTCATCATAAGATTTCGTCACGGTATGAACCTACAATACACACAATACTTATTGTACAATACAGTACAATATTTATTGTAATATCGTGTGAAAGCTGACAACATGGTGGGGAGGCTCACGATTAGAGATGTAACAATATCCAAATCTGTCAGTACAATATTTTCACGATATACATCTCACGGAACGATATTTATTGCAATATTTTGTGGAGGCAAACAAAGTTGTTAACATGCTACTTTTTCCTTTTAAAATGCCTTGACAATATTTAATCCAAAGAACTAAGACTTAAAAGTGCTTAGAACTGTTATTTCTTCATGTAGTCTACACTGAAATGGAGCAAAGGGTCTATGTAGTTTCCTCTTTTTTTTAACTATTGCTGCACCATAACTTTTAATTTAAGCAAAGAGACTTGCAATTTGATATATTGTAATGGTCCACGATATTATTATGAGAACTCTGACGATATGATATCACGATGTTTCAGTTATCGTTACATCCCTAATTATTAAGGTCACAACTTTGGACATGTAGACAGGAGCAATGACAATTTCATATTTACTAATACTGTAATGTGTTGTCTCAGTTTACATGTTAACCCTGTGCCTCGACTCCACTGCAAAAACTATTCTGAACCTCAGCGTGGCTTTCCTGCATTCAAACAAATAAAAAATAAATTTAAATGTACTGGACTATCCCTTTAAATGCTTGGTCTTGAATAAGATCAGTAATCAGACAAACAATGTTTCCTGATTCTTGTACGTGATGCAGAGATGATTGAATGTATCTTATAAAATGCTGGTTTAAACTCTTATAATAAAAACTGCCCTTGAACAAGCTTCAGTTATGACATCCTGAAAAAAGTCAAACAACAGTCTCTTGATTCACTTCAAAACAAGTGAACTGCAGCGGCATCAAGGCAAAGTTACATGTGTAAAGTTTGGTCCATGCATGTTAAAGATGTGTGCACTACGGTGGCCCTGGTGGTCAAGCTATAACAGCAGATCAGATTGGACAAAAAACAATAAAGAAAATCACAAAAAATAATTGGTAAAAATGATATTGATATAATATTAAAAAAATGGTTGGTTGGTAATAAAAACTCTCTGGTTTTCAATAAAAAAGTAAACAGAAGGTTCTAATCACAAACACATTTGCACATTTGATAAATTAGATGTTTGAATGCTACTTTTGCATTTCGTACTGCCTGTTGTTGCTTATTGGCACAAAATGGTCGCCATGTTTCCATCAGTCTGCCACAGGACAGCTATGGCTATTAGAGAAGATTAAATGTTTGACCATACTAGGACTAGATAGATGTAAAAAGAAAGAAAAAAAAAAACTATAATGATTTTTGATTGCTGTAACTTGTCCTGCAGGGCCACCGTAGTCTGCTCACGCCGGTAGATTTGCCTATGTGCGTCATCAGACCATATCGCAAAAAGATCATTTTAAATAATATCAATGTCTGTATCACTTCAGATCTGGCTTTTGTTTAACTCAAAAAATGTCTTAATGGGAGTTCCAACAGTCAGCAGTCATTTACAAGAATGTCTTTTGAACGTCTGTCAAAACCCTGGAGATTCCCCATTGGCCAGTGAGGTCTTTTTCATCACAGTCTCCTCTCTCTGACTTAAAAAAGTGTCTTTAAAACATCAGACAATGTTTAGTTGACGTAATAGAGCCAGTAGATGAGGTTGAATAAAGAAAATGTGAAAGGGAAGATAATCCGCGACCACCTGTCTATGGCATTTACATCGGTCAGATCTGGGATTTTGATCTTGAGTTGGGACGAGCGTCTTCGCAGTCTCGTCCTCTTTAGGTGTGCGTTCCTGTCCAAACTGTGCCTCCCCGACTCCCGTGCTGAGCTGGGCCTCCTGTACTGGACCCCGCCCACGTTGTCAAAGATCATGGAGGAGGAGTTATGGGTGTCACTCAGGGTGGTGGTGGTGATCTCGTTGGTGCCCACCTCGTTGTGGATCTCTAAAGTGGTGAGGAGGATGTTTCCCTGGGAGTCCACCTGACGATACAGACACAGAGCAGGTTAAGAAGCGTCTTGGGTTTAGTTTTTTTTCAGGATGAAGATGTATTGTACAGACTTTTAAAGGTGCACCATGTAACTTTTTGGTTGGGGATCTGTCACATGCTTATTTCTATGGAAAGGTCATTGCTCTGCCTGGACAGCTTTACCTTACATTTATTGAATTACAGAATTTCAGGTGGTTTTATAGCTTAAAAATACCTGAATACAAGGGCGTAGGTTTGCATAGGAACAGTCGGGACATGTCACAACCAATATTTGGGGAAGACAAAATGGTCCAATATTTGCCATTTTATTTGAATAAACAAAAATATACAGTTATTCTGATATTTTTCCAAACTCAATAGTATTAATTTAATACATTTTAGTTCACATCTGTATCAGACGTTCTGAGATGTATTCAGGGATATGACAACAGGGTTACTTCTGCCGCAATGTCACTGGCTGCAACAGAGTGATGTCATTAGTGGTGCCAGGAGCCTAAATTGAGGAAGTAGCAGGACAGGGCCACACCTGAAAATGGCAGCTTCAGGCGTGAGTGAAGACGCTGCACACCAAACTTAGAAAAACTTTTCAAAAGGAACTTATTTGGCTTCATCTTCAATTAAACTTGCCTTATAATGAGTCGCCACGGAAAAAGAGCGACTATCACCACAAGTCCACCTCCCAAACGGAGCCCTACTTGTGTGCTGTTAGCAGCCGGACTCTGTTGACAATATTCCATGGAAAAATGTCTGGACATTACCTCACAAATATCTCAATACCAACAGGCAAAGAGAAATCTGCTACAAACTTCTACATCGCTGTTATCTGCTCAAGAATTATTTTAGAAGGGCAATGGACACAAACTGTACATTTTGCGAACTGAAAAATGAAACCACCTCTCACTTATTTTGGACCTGCCCAGACTCTGTGTGTTTTTGGAGGGGGGTTACATAGTGCACCTTTAAACTTGATATTTTCTGCAGTATTTATGAAAATAATCTGTGTCTGGAAACAAACTCCAAGCCATAGTTGCTATAAAGAGAATTCTATACAAAATGAGAGAAGAGAGAAGCAGTGCTGCAGATGTAAGCAGATTAGTGTTGTTCTAATACAAACATTTCAAACTTGATTTTGATACAAAAGAATAACGCAAAACAATAGTAGTTCTATTAATTTTACTTTATTTTACAATGTGGTTTGTACTTGTTCTGATAAAGATCAAGACCATTGTAAAACTATTCAGGAAATGTCCAATTTTGTTCTATTTATATTTTATTTTATTTCCAGTATTGCTACTTAATTGAATGAGCATCTAGTTTTGATACTAGTTTTCATATTAGAATCTGATTTTGATACTTGATGATCTGTTTCTGATGAGGAGTAAATCTCACCTAAGTCTCATCTAATACACTGCAGCTATTTCTTTCTTTCATTTCTAGTTCAAATGAATTTTCAGGACCTTTATAACAATTCAAAAGCCCTTAATCCATTTTGCAGCACATTCTCTTATTGTTTCTGTTCAAGTAGCAAAAGATGCTGAAGATGTGTTAATTGGAAAACCACAGTGACAATAGCATGACAAGGTGAAGAACAAGAGGAGAGGTGTCAGTGTTTCACAGGAAAGCAAGGCTGGTTTAGTTCAGGGTGAGATTAAGCAGGTTTTCGCTTAGTAAAACTTTGTACAGGAGACAAAGTTTTAGTTGAGTTTCACACAGTGGCAGCACTGAACTCACCCCTCGAGAGTGACGCCGACCCTCAAACTGATTGGACTGTTTCCTGCAGTTACCTGAATCCACAGACGACTGGCCAGAGGAGAGAACATTCATGAAGACTTTTGTTTTGGATTTACCAAATACATTTGTCATATGGGGGCAACAAAATGATCCATACATTTGAATAAATTATAAACAGAAAAAATACTGTGCTACTGTTACATTTTAGACACATTACGCATAGAATTTTAAGGTTATTACCATGTACATGTGAGTGTTGTCAGTGGCTATAGTTAGATATGGTTAGATTATCAGATTTTTGGAATTATAAAACTTTTAAAATGACAGTTCAGATCAGTTTTCTTTCTGATCATAGTCACTCTGATTTCTCAGTAGAGACTGACCAATATGGGTTTTTTCATGGTCGATGCAGATACCGACTGTTTAGAATCTAGAGAAGGCAATGATCGATAAGGTCTGTCAATATTTTTGGGCCAATATGTATTGTCAGTTTTTATTATTTTCCCCAAATTTCCCCACAGCCCTTTTTTTAACCACAAACTTATAGGGGATCTGTGTATGTGTAAAACACACATACAGTCATCATGTCACATTAAAATGTTCAATGAAGCTGCATGTTTATTATTTTGGCAGCAGGTTAGCCAAAACAAAATATGGGCCTCTGCTTGAGATTTAAGGCTGATACGGTAAAAAGAGCAAATATTGGCCCGATATATCAGCCAACCGATATATCTCTATTTCTCACATCAGAATTTGTGGTTTGCTTGTCATTTAAATAATCTTAAAGATTATGATATTATCAAAATATCATAGTTAGTACAGTATACTTTACTCATTTACTCTTTCAAAAAAATGAATATTCAAATTAGGAATCAGCCAAACTTTTTCAGCAAAAAAACTTTTTCCCAGTATTGTATTTTTTTCTAACAGTGTGGGAGTCTCAACATATGTAGCTGCTTATTATGTTGTTACCGCTAGTCTTTCCTTCATACAGAATAACAACTTTACAGTCAATCGAAAAGGGACAACCTCCTCTTCAATATGTCATTAGGTAAAGATGATTTCTTGCCCTCTTTTCCCTAAACCATGTAGGCACATTTTCAGGACTTTACAACCTCATATATTTCTTGTCACGCCACCTCCCTGCGTATTAGAAATGAGTCTCACCTTGGGTCTGTCAAATTTATTGCGGTCATTATTGGCCTTTTGCGCCCGCTCAGCCAGTTTCTTCTGCATCTGGGGGCCACGTCCAAAGAAGATGTAGTTGACAAATGCGTATTCAAGCAGCGCCAGGAAGACGAAGACGAAGCAGCCCATCAGGTACATGTCTATGGCTTTAACATAGGGGATCTTGGGAAGAGTCTCCCTCAAATGTGTGTTAATGGTGGTCATGGTCAGCACAGTGGTGATACCTGCAAAACAGACATGCAAATTTGATTAAGCAAACGGTTACAATAGTTTTAACTTTCATCTTTGTTGTAATTAACAAATTTTGTTACATTTGTTATGACTATTTTAAAAAGCATGTGCTTGTTAGCTTGTTAATGAGGTTTGGCTCAGAGTAGTGGTAGCATTATTCGGTCCCAAAGATCATTGTTGTCAGTTATTAAAAATGTATAATATGGTACATGCAGACCCAATCCCCCCCAAAATAATGATAATGATAAGGTTCAACATTTCTGGATTTCCTTTTTGATTTTGGATTTTTTTCCAAATAGAGTGAACACGGTGTATAGTTATAAAGTTAAAAAGCAGATTTTTACTACACTGAGGGCATAGCAATACTATTTTGCTATTCACTGTAAATATGTGACATGGTTCATATCAGTGCAGTGGTCAAATGTCCACAGTAATAAAATGATAATCCTTATATAAATATTACACAGGTCTCTTGGGCTAATAGTAATGGTTTTGTTCCCTGTTTTCAGCCTGATCCTATGTGAAAGATGACATGAAGCTACAAACAGTGGTTTAGTGCAGTCTGTGTCAACACGTATCCAAGGTCGCCGCGATGATATGTGGAAGTGTCAGCTGGGAGTGGACCCCAGTCGCTCTCATATAAGTCCCGTGTTATTTACTGGACATTGGCTCAGACAATTCAAGGTCTGTAGACGCTGTGTGAACGAATAAAACGACTGATAAGGAAACCAAGCAAAGTGAATCACTGGAGTTTGTTTTAACAATTTAATGAAAAGGGTTATGGTCAATGGGATAATATCATGAGTCATTAAGGACCTTACAGTATATATCACCTTTAAGAGGTAATTAAAGCTATCTGCTTCTCCTGAGAGTTCCCACCTCACCGTGATTGGTTCACAGTTCAAAAGTAATTAATTTTGTTAAATGTGTCCCAACCACTTTGAGATACGCTGTTGCTATTAACTATATTAAAACAGGTTAGGTTGGGACAAGTGATGCACTATTAAAATCTTTTGGAAATAAAATATATAATCCATCACGTATTGCAATCACCAGAGTCAAAATGAGCAATTATATTTCATGAAATGCTAAAATCTCAATTTCAGCCCTTGATAGATTATTCATATGAATATTTGATGGTTTGAATAGATTGGCATTTTGCAGACTATAACATTACACTCTGATTTAGACTATATTGTCCTCAATAGATTTCAAATACAGTGCCATTTAAAAGAATAATTCCAACAAGGACCGGATCTTTAAATGCGTTGTATTTTTCAATCACAAGTAAACAAGTCAAATCCTTCAGAAGTAGATGGATATCTCACAGCGGAGGACTTGTCAGATTAACTCCGCTTTGCTAAGCAGAAAATGGGCCCTGGTTTACAGCTCTTGTAGCCAACACACTCAGCATATATCGCAAATAAATAAACAAGAGTGAAGTCATTCTCTCAGTAATATGCTCCATCGACAATAACTGCACTGTGCTGGTTGTGCGTTTTACCGATCTGCATCTAGTTTACAGTACATCTGTCGGTACTGCCTCATATGATTAATCTTGAACTTCATACTTGAGAGAATGGAAGACATGGAGATAGAGGGAGAAAGAGAGAAGGAGTGAGAGAAGAGAGAGTAGGAGTGTCAGGGTAGTGTGGTTACATGGCATTGATTTCAGTGTAGCAATGGTATGAGTTTCTCAAAATAGTTGCAGCAAGTACAATATAAACTGCATTTGAACTGTGTACATGCTTTAGGCAATAGCTAAACCTTCATGGGACTTTACTGCTTAACCAAGATAGAGGCAGAGTATATGAGTATATTTTGATATAGTATATGTAAGTATTGGTAAAACTGACATTGGCACAGTGCTTACAATTGAGTGATACCTGCTTTCATTACATTCAAGAACAGGTAATAGGCAATAGGTAAATACTGGGTTAATTTACTCCAGTCTAAAGTGAATAATATATTTCAATCTAAGATTATTCTTTATATTTTAAACTTGTACTAACTTCACATTATCCATAAATCTCCTCATTGGTCTTTTCCATACACCATTACTCATGTCATTATTGTCTAGAACATTTCCTCTCTGTATTAGGGCATTTTCCATAAGGGCAAATCTGTGCAAATTCAGTTTTAGGCAGGATACTCTTCCCCCATTACATCATAAAGAAACCTATAGCAATTTATCAAATTAGATTAATGACTGATAGAGAGTGTGAATGCTTTTAAACAGAAGTGATTGCCAAAGCTTTAAAGGTCCTATATTATTTGAAATTGACTCATGTGAGCTTTAAGCCATGTTATAGTGTTGTTACTTTATTAAAAACATATCTGGAGTTGTGTTTTGTTTCATTCATACATGTCTGAGTAGTCTTGGTGTATTACTGTCTACATCTCCAAACCTCAAAACACTCTGATGCACATTGCGATTTCATGAAGCAGTAGTAATATGGGCCCTTTAAATGCCCATTGTGTGCTATTTTACTGTAGTTTCATTTCATTTATTTAGCTCCATTCATTTCAGAAAAAAAGGAAACATATTTACTTAATTGTTGTGCCTGCGGAAAGCACATCAAGTCAACATTAACTATGGTAATCAAGCCCTCATTACATTTACTAGTGCAAAAGAGAAATTTTAAATAACAAAGCTAGCAGCAGCCCCAGCATGACCAGGAAAATTGCACAGTTGCTGCCATTTTTGTGAATACTTGTTTTAGAATACCCACTCATTTGGAAAAAATACAGACATTGAAAATTGGTGTTAAATAATGTACAAATGAATGTATATTTTATTTTTCTTTTGCTTGCTGGCATATTTTTCACTTGCATCTGACATAAAAGTGTATCTCTTTAGAACAATAACTTGAATTTTATACACACAGAATACACTTGGGTATTCATTATATGAGCAATGGATTGGCAGGGTTCATCTTAGTCCATATCCCAGAGTTAAACCAGGTCTTATGGTTGATTTGTTCCCACAGGCAAGCATCAAATTACATCACAGTGTGCATGCTTCAATACTAACAACCCTGTCTCTCAGCCTCGGTCAGAATAATCTAATATTTATCCATTGCAATGTTATTGGAATGTGTACAGGATTCCCCAAATGCCCCACCCCTCGCTGGCTATTTTTAGACCTAATTGGTACTCCTAAACAAATTACCTTTATTACAACCATCTTCAGTAACCCATAATCGTGTGCACTTAGGATGGTATTTGTATTGCTCTTGGAATAGGATAGAAAAAAATAAAAGAAAGGTCAGATTTGGTGTTCCTGTCAGGAGTAACTAGGATGTCTCTGTCCAGGCTACATTACAGTAAACAAGATCTCCCAGTGCTCCTGCGCTATTTTATTGTAAACAAGAATTGCATTAAAGGTGCACTGTGAAACTTTTTGGTTAGGGGTTTCTAGAGAGATGTCATTCCTTTGCCTGGAATGTTCTATAGTATGACATTAAGCAGCTCTGCCTTACATTTATTCAGTTCCAAGTGGTTTTATAGTTGCCAGGCTGGCACCACCTAGTGCCTCCACTCAATTTCATTTCTCTCCAGCGACTAGGTCAGGAATTGGAAAACACTAGAAGGTTTACAAGAACCCTGGAAGTGCAAGTCCGGGCACCAGCCAATCAGCGAAGAGCCATACATTTTGTGTTGACATCGATTCCCGAGCTCAAGGATAATAAGCCAGTGAATTTTATCAAGGGGAAAGACGTTGCCCTTTTTCCTAAGGGATATGGGAAAAGCTCAATATACCAATTAGCCCTGTTAGTGGTGCATTACATATGTCACCAAATAGCAGCGATAAATAAACAAAAAAAAGTACCCGCCTACTGTTAAGCAAGTGAATTCTAATGCTGCGAGATCAGACGGTTTCCATGAAGTGAAACCGGCTGATGAATCAGGCTAGTTTTATAGCTCAAAATTATCTACAAAAACAGGCATTCTGATTATGAGTGGGGTTACCTCTCCACAGATCTGACATTTAACTTGGTCTGGCTTGGTCTCCATGAAGATAGAAAGGTTTAATGCCATACTGTGAAACATTCCAGGCAAAGCAATAACACCTCGGCGGAGAAAAGCATCTGACGGACCCTCCACCAGAAACCACCAGAAAAAAATGAAACTAACCCTTGACCAATGCTGTTGATATTTGTTCGGTTGGTTAGCAGATAAATAGACATCATACAATACCTAAAGCTACTCTAGCGGCCGAAGCGTCGTAGTTTATCCAGAAGGACACCCAGGACAGAATGGTGATGAGGATGGAGGGCATGTACGTCTGTAAGATGAAGTAGCCAATGTTTCGTTTCAGTTTGAAGCTCAGAGACAGTCGTGGGTAGGCACCTGCAACACATAAGAGACAGGCTCAGGTAATGTTACAAAATCACTCCCATTCATAAGTTTGTCATCACTGTAAGATATAAATGGGTATCACATAAAAAATAAAGTTGTTTTAAAATTGCATTTATCTTCTAAATACAAAAGTTACTCTAAAATTCACAAATTTACTGATAAGATGATGAGATTTCTTTTGTACTTTTAAATGCACACCAAAAATCTGTTCTAATTATTGGATTTTATATCAATTAATTCTAGTAACTCTATAACAAATTTTTACTGGTCATGTAAATGTACCCAGTGTGTTGCTATAGTTTAGATTTTAGAGATCGTCGGAGAGGCTCTTGACCTGGTATTGAAACTGTATTTGAACACGAGTGACCTCCTTCATTTTGTGACGATGTTACCTGTGGAAAATGTTGGATTCTGTATTCCCAGCATCTTTTAGTCTTATGCCTGGGTTAAGCCAATTTTCTTTGCTTTCTTCACAGGTTTTTACATGTTTTTTTAAACAAATGAACTAAACACTTTTAACAAAAAAGTTGTGCTCTTTGTTTTGTCCCAACAATCAGACCCTCTACAGATTTAGTCTCCATGGAAACAGGCACGTGTGGGTCAGGCTGAAATCTTTTGATGAAATCTGGCCTTGAGCTCATCATTGGCAAACAAGTCGCTCCAGAGTTAAATCTCTACGCAAACTGTATTAGAAAAACGCCATATGAACAAATGACTGTGCCTGTGGACATGCAGCAGTGCTGGTACATGCTGCGTCTGATAAATAAAACATGTTCAAATTCTGATGTAACAGTGTGCTGCTGCTGCCAGGGTCAGTTTGCCTCATTGTTTTTAACATATTAAAAAACAAGCAAACAAACTCATCTTAGGCAAACAATGCAACTAATAATAACAATGCTATAGGTGCCGTGCTTTTTTAGACACACAGACATTTTGCATTATTTAATTCATACACTTCATGGTCAGGTCATTCCACCTCAGTTCACCCAAAAATAGCACTTTGAAACCTCACATTGTTCAATTGAAAAGACAATTGGTGTATGGGTAAGTCATAGCCAAGAATGCCAAAATCTCAAAATTTAGCATGATCGGAGTCACAGTTTATGAGATATCACAATTTCATATTTTCACTTTTTTGCGTGGTCGCTGAGTTTCAAATTGCATTTACCCAACAACTACTGGTCCGATATCAAAAACCAAGGTAACTCTGGAAAGAGGAAATTGTAAGGAATCCAAATCTTGTCTTGCATGTCTTAAGATGGGGGTAAGTCAACTTCTAGGTAAAATTGTGTGAAAATAAAAAGAAAACCCCTCCAGATTTTTTTGTATGTTGTAGTAGACGTATAGGGCTTCACTTTTTCTGTTGGTGTCATTGAGGGCGGATGTGTCCCTTATTGTCAATTTCAAGGTCAAAATATAGGTCAAAAGGTACTTCAACTCAAAATTACTCAAATGCAAAAATGCCAGATTTGGATTCCTTATGATGTTCTTTTTCCAGAGATACCTTGGTTTTTGGTATCGGACCAGTAGTTGCTGAGTAAATGCAATTTGAAATTCGGTGACCACACAAAAAAGTGAAAAAATGAAATCTCGGAAACCATTGGTCCAATCAAACTAAAATTTTAAATTTTGACTTTTCTGGGTATGAGTTACCTATATACCAAGTTTCATCAAAATTTGACAAAGTAGGGTTTAACTCATTGGATGAACTGAGGTGGACTGACTCGGTCGTAAGCTCCTTCTGTAGACACAGCTGTAAAGATAGACTGATAGACTGAAAGAAGGCTCTCAATTTTACTTTACTACAGCCATTAAAATGTCATTTGACCACTTCATCATGTAATCCATTTCAAACTAAATAGCTGATCAAAATCACAGTTCAGCTAAAACGCAGTGCTTTGTTACTATGAGTTGTATAATTTTCTTTTTTATATTTTTAGTATATTGGCCCTGTGCAATCTTAACCATAATTTCTGCCTGTCATTTAGGTCAAAACTTGTGTAAGTAAACTGCATATTCATGTGTGATTTAATACAGCTCCCATGTAAACCAAACAGAAATTCTTACTTCTTACATTATATTGCATTGCGCGTAGATATTATTATTCCTTACTATTCGTCTCGCTGGCAGAGCTCCCAGCTGTGTGGACTCTTCGGACTTTATTTGTATCAACATTTGACCCTGACACTAATGAGCTGTAAGCGCCTCTCCACAGACCCACATCTAGCTGGCATTAATTCCGCTTTGGGAATCGCCATTGTTTTTTATTGTTTTTGTTTAAGAGCAGAATAATTTATGCTGTTGATGCTTCACAAACACTAAGAATGCCCCCCGCTTTCTCCCCCTATTCTTTTATACTGCTCACAGAAACACAGGAGTAATTGTTGCTTTGTTATTATTCTGACTTGCAGAGTTGTAGGGCTAAGAGGGGAGCGTGATGTAAAATCCTGTAATTACAAAAAAGACTATGTGCACATGAAGATGACTGGGGGGCTTGCATCTCCAGCTTTTATAAAATATACTATAATGATTTTGATTTGAAAGTCAGTCAGCCAGTGAGCTTTAGTGTGCATTCTCAGGTCGTCTTCATGTTTACATGCACACCAAAAGTCTCATTATTATCCCATTTCTGGAATAATCAGATTATTCAAATGTCAGGTAAACAGTTGCATCTGATGTGAGTAATCTGATCTTTTTCTGATAGTTCACACCTGTGCAGACTTTGACAGGAAAATTATACGAAAAGGGCATACTAATGTGGCGAGACAAACATGAAAAAGTTGTTTTAAAATTCATTGCACTTTACTTTCCAAATATAAACTTAACTCACTGATAAAGTGACATGTATGTCAGTACATGGTGTGTGCGTGAGTGATGGTGGGGGATTGGCAGCTTTGCTTCCGTCAGTCTGCCCCAGGGCAGCTGTGGCTACAATAGTAGCTTACCACCACTGAGTGTTGAGTAAATGAACAATGAAGTGTAAAGCGCTTTGAGTATCTTGAAAGGCACTATATAAATGCAATGATTAATTAATGTAACCAAGTGTTTTTGATGATGTGATTTATTTATTTTTTTGGTATTTTACACAAAGGCAACATTTCCAAAGCCACTGCTGTTCTGCATAAAATAAAGCTCTCACTAAATAGTACAGCATTATTAACTTTGTATAACTCTATAATTGTACCATATCTGATGTACTGTGTGGAAATTTGGGGTTCAACATGCAAAACTTACCTACAACCTTTATTTATTTTACAAAAAAGGGCCTTGAGAATTATCACCAGCAGTCATTGTAGAGAGCCATCCAACCCAATATTTGTTCAACTTAAAGTGTTGAAAATGCAGGATATTGTTCACTTAAGTATCCTCAAAGTCATGTATAAAGCAAAGTGTAATTTATTACCTGTAAATATTCAAAAACTGTTTGAGATGAGAACAAGCCACTACAATTTAAAAGGAACCTACATGTTTAAAAAACCCAGATTCAGAACAAAGGTTATGGAGAGAAGTGTCGCTGTGAAAGGAGTTCACTTATGGAATAGTCTTGACAAAGAAATAAAAGAATCAAGTACAATGATGACATTTAAAAACATATAAAATCGAATGCACTGTGTCTGTATGAAAAAGAAAACTAAGTTGTGTATAATAATGAAGATTTACTGTTTGCAATTGATCAGTAATTGTGCCTGAACTAATATGGAATGTTTAGTGAAGATCAGTGTTGATGTTTTGTCTTGAAAAAGGAAAGGGGGGCAGATAACATAAGATTTTTTCTTCTTTCTGCTCCTTTTCATTCATTTCTTGTGTGTTTGATGTGACACTGTTGATGTCTTTTTATGCTTTATGAAATAAATAAATAAATAAAATTTTAAGCTCAATTATTTGATATTATCCCAATTTATTCTAGTTATCTAATTCATACTGGCCATGCAAATTTACTCAGTGTGTCCATAGAAGGCATGTCAAACTCAGGCCCAGGGACCAAATTTGGCCCATGATATAATTATATTTGGCCCACGAGATCTTGTCAAATATGCATTGCTGCTGGCCCACCGGCTACAGATAGACTATAGAGACATTATTTATTTAAAATATTATATTATGCTTATTCTGGATTTAATTTTTAAGCAAAACTATTATTACACAGTTAGTTTGATACCCCTGGTCTATAGTTTTGATTTTGGTGATGGTCAGAGATGCTCTTGACCTGTATTTGACCGCTAGTGACCTCCTCCATTTTCTGACACCTGATCTGCCGTGAAGTTACCTGTAGAAAATACCACATTTCTGGACACTAGTTTGTAGTCAACGATGGAGAACTGAGGCAGCTCAATCCTGGTCACTCCGGTCACAGCGGTCTCTCCTCCTTTCCAGTAAAACTCAATGTCATCAGTGGTGTATCCGTCTGAAATTGCAGACAACAAGACATAGTGAGAACATTTTGACCCAGACCAAAACTAAATCGAGCTATTTAAATTCTTTCCATACAAAGGTTTAATGTACTTGCCAATGTTTCTAAATTTTCATCACTCTGAGCATCACACGTGTGCGTGCGTGTGTGTATGTGTAATCACTAATGTGTGCTTTCACTTGTGGATTGGTAAATCCTCAAAAATGGCACCCGTAACAAGTGCAAACTTCCCCTACACTCCAGTGCGTGGAACATCATAACCATCTGATTTAAAAACAACCAATATATGAATTTTTCAATATCTATTTTGATATAAAGAATTTTATTTGCTTGAGTGAAATCTCTAGTTGCTTAATAGCTGCATCTGATTTACAGTAAGCCCCATGAATCATTGTTAAGTGCTGATTGCATGGGGAGTAAATCTGGGCGAGTTGTGTGTCGCTGTATCCAGACAGACTGCGACCACGTGGATCCATAAGCGTTGATGGTTTTATGGCGAGGACCAAGCCAGCCGAGCCAGGGCCCTGATGAAGGAGAGCTGATCATTACGGCTGCTCTGGGAGTCCGTGTGCGCTCCCAACAGGGCAGAGACAGTGGCTCCTAACGGTGAGCAATCTCATCGGCCCCGACAGCTTAATAAATCCTAAGGCAGTTCAGAAGCCAGGGCCCTTTCTGAGCTGGAGACATGACGAGTGTGAGAAGTTTTTTATGACAATCACTTTTCATACTTAACTGATGAAAAAGCGGAGATGTGCAGTGTATTTTAATGAGGTTCAAGACAGCGGCCTGGGTCATGGCTCAACAAGACTCATGCAGCATAGTTTAGGAATCTTATATTCCATGTGTATTCTTATGCTTATGTACTTACATGTACAAATACAATGTCTCGTTATAATTGAACAATATTCAAAATAGAGTTCTGACTAAAGAAGCAATACAAGGGTTAAACTTACAACTCTCTATTTCTAGAGTGCAGTTTTGTTCGTCCAGTGGGTATCGCCGTAGGTCCATCATACAGGCTGCTGTCGTCGTGATCCTAAATGACAAAAAACACCATGTTTTATGCTCACTAAAATGCTGCTCAAAAAGAAAATATAGAAATCTTTGAGAAATACAAAAACATTATTAATAGCTCTAAAAGGCACTCACAGTTACCACTAATAGCACTTTCAGGATTTTGAGAAGCTGCTACACTCTTGTGAAATGAGAGCCATTATTCCAGCAGATTGGTTTAACTTTTTTTTTTAGGAAAGAAAGCAGAGAATGACAACTGGTTGGAAGAAGTGTTAAATGTGCATTATTCAGCTTTTCTTGTGGGAGCCCACCACCTGCTTGTTTCCGTGGTCATGGAGGTGTTAATGCTTTACCTGGAGTGTTCCACAGAATGGCATTAAATTGTACTATCTTGCATTAATTCAATTGCAGATATTTTTATTGCTCAAAAAATGCATACATCCATTCTTTCTGAGTACAGTCTCCACAGATCGGACCACCACCTTTAGACTATCCAATGAAATTAACCTTAACTTAACTTCAGACCTTAATTTAACTCAGACCTATGACAGTTTGTACTTCACCATCGATCTTAGTATTTTCTGCCTTTAGAGAAGAGCTTGGCGATCCCTCAGTGCTTAAGAGTCCTTACCTGAGCCCGTACAGGACTGTCCCATCGGGGTGCAGGCGGATCATGCGGTTTTTCACTGTGACTCCATGAACAAAGGACTTCTTATCGTTGAGGAAGTATGTGTCTGGGACCCAGAGCTGGTCGGCCACTCTGTTATCCAGGGTAAGGTTCAGAGGGATGCCGGCGTACGCCAGCCTCTTATCTCTCCAGTACTGCTGGAAGTACATGGTCAGCGTGTAGTCCTGGAGGAGAGAGCAGATACAGAAACATGAGAGAGTGATTTTTATACCATTGCTGTTATCTATCATAGTGTGTTAAACCACAGAAAACACTGTTCTATTGTGTATAATGTGAAAACAATGGGTTCATATGTGCTTGTTTTATCTGTTTTATCCTATGTAGTCATATAAAGGTATTGGACCACAATGGCACAAAATACACAGATGGAAATTAAATATAAAAAAATTATGCATGTATGTATGCATAATAAATGTTATTGTATACTGAAAAATAATAAACAAAAAGGACAAAAAGTGCTGGTTTAAAGATGTGGCTACAGTCTCTATGCATGGGTTTTAGAAAGGTACTGCTTCTGGCAGTCTGTGAATATACCACTCATCTTTCTTTAGCCAATAACCATCCTGAGGTAATACACCAAATACCTTTTAACACCAAAAATCCCTTAAAGCTAAAACAGCCCTTTTTTCAGGGGTCATTGAGATCAGTCTACCGCCCAGAGCTGAGTCGGGATATTTTTTAAAAGTTGATATTTATAGAATTGTCAAACAACTGTGATCTCCATCAGTCTGCCCAGAGCATCCGTATTTCAGAGCTGTCTTCAGCCAACACGACTGGCACTAGCATCAAGAATATAGATTTCCTTTACTGCCGGCACAGCATCAAAACCATGTATCACTTTGAGCAAATACCGCTACAAGAAAAAGAAATATGAAGGTGGTTCATTTGGACTGGTTCAATGGAAAAACACTGCTTGTAAGACTGTTGACAATGTAAACAATATAACTGCATTAGAAATTTAAAGGTGCACTATGTAACTTTTCTGGTGAAGGGTCCATCACCTGCTTGTTTCCATGGAGCTTTTACTGCTGTGCCTGGAATATTCTACAGTATGACATTAAACATATTTATCACCATAGAAACAAGCAGGCGATGCCACTAGGCCAAGTTATAAGTCAGATCTATGAAGCGGCGCCCCACTGACAGTAAAAATGCAGGTGTTTCAAGTCATTTTTTCTCAGCAATAAATACACCAGTAGTTGATTAAATGCAAGATGGTTACATTTAATGCCATAGTGACGAACATTCCAGGCAAATCAGTAACATCTCAAGTTAAATAGTGAACCGTTAACAAAAAAAATGAGCTTTGTTAGAAAATCACTGTTGACCTTTGCCTTTTATTCAGATTATCTACAGGTTTAAAAGTTGATATTTTCATATGACAGGCAGCAATAATTTTAGAGACATACATTTATTAATTATTGTGCTAAAAATTGTATATTCAAATCTAACAGACGTGTGAAATATTGAGTGACTATTAAGCACCAAACAATCGTTGACTGATACATTTGAAATGCCTCCACTTTAGTATTTCCTTGTCAGAAGTATAGATTTGTACAAATAACCATATCATATTTGTGTAATCATATTTATTTATAAGAATAGTATTATTAAATTATACTGTTATTATTAGAAAAGGTACAAATTGGTCCTATACTCTTCTTACCAGTTGTCACCAAACTTCTTTAAAAATATAATTTCTTTAAGAGTCTATTGACAAAGCGTATCATTGTGCTGTCAATAATTCATTCCCAGTGACTTTGAGTGGCTCCATCAGAAGAACACAAAAGCTTTCTCCCTTTATAATGGCTTAGCAGGCTCCCCGTTCTGCTGACTAATGCTCTCTTAAATAAATAAACAGGAAATAAACACAAACTTGGCTCCACTGAAAATGCCTACATCTCAGCCCTCTGGTGCATCGCATATTCATTATAAAGTGTTCAAAAAGGCCAGGAATCAGACACAAAATCAATACCTACTGTTTCAACACCAAACTAATTGTCACCATAGATCCCTGTGGGTCCTGCCGCAACAAACTGCTGACTTGATAAGGAATAAAAAGTACTTTTATTTTCTAACACTTGCTACTGTACATTGGTGGGCTGTAGGGAAAGGAACAAAGAGCTTGGTTTTGAGTCCAAATGAAAAAAAGCGCACAAAGTTACTGACTAATGTAATCTAATATTGATTGTTTATAAATAATTTAAATAGTACAATCAGAGTATGCAGGCTTTTCTTTGTGCTAAAAAGCATTCTGCATTTAGTATATTGGAGGAGAATAAGACTGGCCGTACTTTCTGGAATAAAAGATATTTTTAAAAAGATTGAAACATTGAGGCCAAAATAAGGTATGTAAGGTATTTCAAATTCCATGATCCATCAGTAACCCCAGATTCAAATAAAATATTCCTTTTACTGGTGCATTGAAAAAAACTTTAAAAACTCCACATAAACAAAAGCATCACCACCTCGTTTTATATACAAAAAAATACAGGATATTTCCAGAACGTGAGTGAATCACCCTCTCCACCACAGAGCCACCTCCTTGTCTAGAGCACACAGACCTTCAGATCCTACATGGTCTTGGAAAGTCTAAAAAACATCTTCAGCTTTGGAAATCTATTTCCACATCGCCCTAACCTGTGCCACCATTTTAGCTGTGTAGGCATTTTGCATGGCCAATTTAGCACCTATCTGCACCACCGTGTCTTCTTTTGAATGATGGGAGGAATGCACATGAGTTTATGTATTAGACAACCAGACGTTAAATATTACACTAGGGTTAATATCCAAGGACTAATTAATAAAAGCTAATTAACATCAGTAAAAAATCATGAATAGTTTGCAAATGACTTATAACATGAATGCATGATGTGGATAACATGAAAGTATTTTTTAATGCCCAGGTGACTTTGTGTTAGGTGTATTTAGTTTGTAATTGTATGTCATGCTATGCTCACTGAAGCCAAACATTCAAGATGTTGCCAAATCCTTCACTTGTTTCTCTCCTCTAAACCTCAGGTAGAGATGATGGGTGCAGTTGTTGTTGCCAGGTCCCACGTGCACCATTTGGGACAGAGTAAATGAGGCCCCATGGGAACTTTCAGTGTCTTCTTCAGTCTCTCCTGCTCTGAGACGTGTTTTAACTGTGTGCCACTCACAAAGTGCAGACGTCAACACAACGCTGGGATCTCAGCGGGGAATACAAGAATAGCACTTTGAGAGGCCGCCCGTGCAACAAAACGCCTTTTCATCGCTGCATCAGACAGATAAGTGTTCCCCCAGGATTCAGAAACTGACTTTTTACAAACCAAGCATTTAATAACTCCAGCCCTGGGATCCACCCACATAACCTGTTACAAGTTTTCAAGCAGCACCTCTATAGGAAGAAAGGACTGTATCTGTAACCCAGTGTGGCCTTCAAGTGCACTGTTTCACTGAACATAAAAGAGGCAACGTTTAGAGTATTATAGAAGATAACAGCCATTCAGATTTAACGCTAAACAAACATCTTGTTAGTTTCATATAAAGAACAAAATATAGACATATGGCTCAGCTGTCCGCTAAACAAACTGGATTGTACTGATTCATAATAAATCCATACTTTATCACTTTTTAAAATTTAGTCTTTTAAAAAATACTAATTTTTCCAAAATACCTAATAAATTTTGGTATTAAAGTTAAGGTGCTTTTCAAGAGGGGGGTTCACCATGTACAGGTCTCTCTGGAGATTTTTATTACTTTGCCTGGATTGTTCCATAGTATAGCACTAAACTTTCTATCTCAGTGGAGATAAACAGGAGATACCACTAGGCCAAGTTACAGGTCAGATCTGTGCTGAGGCAGCCACTCACAGTAAGGAAACACAATTTTAAAATTATTAATTTCAGTAACAAAACACCTCTAATTTATTAAATACAAGATAAAGTCAAGACAAAAGCTCAGTGGAGATTTAAAATAGTGAAATGAGTTTTAAAATACATGTGCCATAATTTCTCATTTGTGGTGATTGGACTAATAGGCTGAACGACTGTGGGCTGTAGTGGTCCATAAGCTGCATGTTTGCCTTGTTTTGCTGAGTCCAGACACAAGGGATCAATGCAATAACCTCTAATGGCCATAGCAACTAGAGATTGGTAAATGGTCACATTTTTATATAGCGCTTTTCCACCTTCAAGGCACTCAAAGCACCACACATCCATACACCAGTGTACGCAGACACTAGGGGCGAGGTGGGTTAAGTGTCTTGCCCAAGGACACAACAACAGCATTCACCTATGGGAGCTGGAATTGCATCGCCAAACTGCTGGTCAGTGGACCTGACCGTTCAACCAGTGATGTTTATGTTGAGAGCAGGATTCGAACCGCCAACCTTCTGATCAGAGGACCAATGTTCACACCAACTGAGCTACTCCCGATTGACTGATATGATTTTTTTCATGGACAATAATAAGGAGGGCAAATTTTGAGTATTGAGTATTGAGTAAATTACGCAATTAAAATTTGCTACAAACAGCGGTTTGTTTTTTTTTTGTTTTGTTTTGTTTTTTTGCCTATGTCTTCATATTTAATTAAAGCTTTATTCTTCTTTAGGCAGGTGGTTGGCCAAAACTAAATATCAGCCTGTGGAGATTTAAGTACATAAGAATTTCAGGAACATGTCCTGTGTGTATTCTCTCTTTTACTTCTATCTTAGGTGGGAGAGAGCCACAATTAAGATAAGAGATTAGATAGTACTCAATTAACTTTACAATTAGCTACAGTTGTGCTCACATAAATGCCCTTAAAACAGTTTTCTAAGTATATGGATGAAGATATAGTTTGGACCTGGTTTAGTCCATAGTTAGTCCACGTTTATCATGTATAAATTCAGTTTTAACCTTGGATTAGATTAGAGTTAGACCCATAAAAAGCCAAAATATATTTTCTAGGTCGCATCGGCGAGACAGATTTCCAAAGCTTGATTTTATACTTCCTCTTATATGATCATAATATTGGATTGCAAGTAGCCACTGCTGCCAAATGCACAGTGTGAAACCTAGATATTGCTGTGTATTGAGAAATGCAGTAATATCCTGGTGAAGTTCTCCTTACCTTGTACATAGTCAGGGCCGGAGGTGATGGGTTTTTTAAAATGGCTGATGTTATAGCTGCACTTGAGTGT